GAAGGAAGGAAGGAAGGAAGGAAGGAAGGAAGGAAGGGAAATGAGGTTTGCATACCTCAAAGGAACCTGGAGAGAGGTGGGGGTGGCCAAGCGTCTTGAGCCTGTTAAGTTGCCTCTAGACCCCTGGCCACCCACCCAGCAAGCCTTCACTCTGCTCTCCCATAGGTCCTGCCTCAGCCTGCCTCCTGCTGACCCTCGTGGCCCTCCCTCCTGTGACTCCCAGCTGCCCTATGCTCTGCACCTGCTACTCATCCCCACCCACGGTGAGCTGCCAGGCCAACAACTTCTCTTCAGTGCCGCTGTCCCTGCCACCCAGCACCCAGCGACTCTTCCTGCAGAACAACCTCATCCGCTCCCTGCGGCCAGGCACCTTCGGCCCCAACCTGCTCACCCTGTGGCTCTTCTCCAACAACCTCTCCACCATCTACCCCGGCACCTTCCGCCATCTGCAGGCCCTAGAGGAACTGGACCTTGGTGACAATCGGCACCTTCGCTCCCTGGAGCCCGATACCTTCCAGGGCCTGGAGCGTCTGCAGTCGCTACATCTCTACCGCTGCCAGCTCAGCAGCCTGCCTGGCAACATTTTCCGAGGCCTGGTCAGCCTACAGTACCTCTACCTCCAGGAGAACAGCCTGCTCCACCTACAGGTGAGCCGGCTTCCTCCCCTAGGCCTCTTCCACCTCTCTCTCTGGACCTAAGTACCCCCTCCTGTCTTCTCAGGCCACCTTTCCCGCCTCAGCATCTCCATCTACCTGTTCCTCTGCCTTCTTTCTCAGTATCTGTCCACCCCAATCAGTGATCCCACTTGCCTCTCTCTGTGTGTCTCTCTAACCCCCGTGTGTCTCTGCCTGTCTCCTGACTTGCCTCCCCCATATGTCTCCCTCTGCCTCTTCTGTCTGTCTCCCTTCATGCACCCACTCAGCACACTCCCCAGTGCCTGTGTATCTCTCCTTTCCCCAAGAGCCTTAGCCCAAAGGCCTTGGCACGATCTTTTCCCATCCACCCCCAAGTCCTCCCACTTCACCGTGCAAGCTGGACAGAGGGCGGGGTCATTGCTGGGGAGGGGCCTGCCTCACAGAAGTCACACTCTTCCCTGATCTCTGGGTAATCACACAAGAGAAAAAAATCCCACCCATTCCAGATCTGCCCCTCAAACCTGCGGTCTCAGGTAGAACTCTGTTACATAGCTGAAAAACAGATGCTCTGGACAAAAAGAAATGGAAGGAAGAGAAGTATTGTTATTTATTGTTACCATTATTGATCTAATTATTATTTATTATTGTTGTTATGCTGACTGTCGGGCACTCAAACCCTCACATCCCATTTCCTCAGGAAGCAGTGACACACCCCTAACAACCACTCAGGAGGGCATGTTCCCTGGTAGCACAGCCTCTGGCTAGAAGGGGGCACTCCCCACGTGAGCCCACAAGGCCCTGCCTTCTCCCTATCCAGGGTTTGGTACCCACAGGTCATCAGTCTGTGGGTTGGAAAATCAGTCCCAGCTGATGCTCCTGATGATAGCAATAGTGATGATAATTTATCGATGTGTTGAGCATCCACAGTATGCTATAATAGAAGTACAGCAACCCTGGGAACAGTATTCAAACGGAGAGAGGAGCAGGAAAATGCACAGTGACTGGGATAATAGGCCTTATTATTGCTGAATAACGGGCAATCAATTTAGCAGGTGCCTAGTAAGTACACATTGTGTTGGGCCCTGGGCAAAGCACTTTACAGGCATCAACACTACCATTTACAAGCATGTGGTGTTTTTCAAACATGGGCCTCAGTTTTCCTCTCTGTGAAACGGGAGTCATATGAGCATCCATCGCCCAGGGATTTTGTAAGCACTAAATGCATGAATAATTTGTAGTGCACTTAGAATAGTGCTTGGCATATATAAGAGCTATATAAACACTTGTTAAAATGCCATGTTTTTTTTAAATGAACTTTATTTAACATTGGTCTCAGATGAAGTTCAATGCCCCAGCTTGAACTTCATCTTAGAGATCTGGGTCAACTCTAAGGATTATTATGAGGCCATGGAGAGGATCCAAGACACACCTTCCACTTCTCTTCTTCCTAAAGTTGCCGGGAACCACGTGGTTACAGAGTGAACTCAGCCACTTCATCTCAAGCCTACAGGCCTCTGGAGGCAGAGGTTTTCACCACGAAGTGCACACTGGGGATCCCAAGGATTTGTAGGACACGAGTCCCTGAAGCCATTGTCCCTGTAACTGGGGCCTTACTGGGCTCCCCACCAAGCTGAGCCCCAAGCTGCTTAGCAGCAGGGACACACAAGACTAGAAGGGACACAGAAGGGAACTGACTGAGACTACACAGCCAGAGGGAGCTGACACTTGACCTGCCTGGTACCATCATACTTTAGAGGGATAATACTCCGAAATACAAGTGTGTAGGCTAGGGGTTTTTGCTAGTGTTTGATTGGTTTGTCATTGGTTTTTGTTTGTTTGTTTACTTATTTGTATATTTGTGTTGGCCTACATGTACATCTGTGCACCACTTGTGTCTAGCGCCCACTGAGGTCATATGAGGAAGTCAGACTCCCTGGATCTGGGGATAGTTACAGATGATTGTGAGCTGCCCTGTGGGTGCCAGGAATCAAACCCAGGTCCACCGCTCTTAACGGCTGAGCCATCTCTCTAGCCCTGACCTTGAACTTCTTAATCCTCCCACCTCCGATTCCTGAGTGCTGGGATTACAAATCTCTACCAGCATGCCTGGTTTATAAGTACTGGGGATGGAACCTTGGTCTTTGTGTATGCTAAGCAAGCTTTTCACCAACTGAGCCACATTTCCAGCCCTGTGGGATTCAGTTTTAAAAGCACTTCTCGGCCTCTTGCATGGCTTTAGAAAAACTATTTTCTCCATCCCCATGCCCACTTCCCAGCCTCCTGTATGTCTTCGGATAAACTATTTTCTCCATCCCCATGTCCACTTCCCTGAGTTGACACCTTAGTGATGTCAACCTATCCAGAAGCTTCATCAGTATTAAAATGAAAGGTATTTAGCACAGGCCACGCTTCAAAACAAAAGAACCATGATTGTTACAGGCTGAGTACCCTGACCTCAAGTGCCAGGGATCGGTTGTGTTTATTTCAGATTTTGGAAGATCTGCATACACATGATGAGTTATCGTGGAGACAGGACCCATGTAGCTCAGCCATGTCTCCTACACACTTGTCCACATAGTTCACCCATGTCTCCCATAGCGTAAAGGAAATTTCAGACAATTTCATAATTCTGACCAGGAAACATTTCAAGGTGGGGAATTCCCCACTTGTGGTGAAGTGTTGTTGATGTTCTGAAAGTTTTGGATTTTGGAGGATTGGATAATTCAGATTTTCTGATTAAAGACACTTGGCCCTTGTTTTTAATTTTTAAATTACATTTTTTTATGCTCATAGGGGAAGGTGGGTGTACATGCACATGCCATGGCGTGCACGTGGATGTCAAAGGATGACTTGGGGGAGTCAGTTCTCTCCTTCCATCAGTTGGGTCCCAACTATGGAACCCAGGTTGTCAGGCTTGGTGGCTGTCTTAGTCAGGGTTTCTATTGCTGTGAAGAGACACCATAACCACAGCAACTCTTATAAAGGAGAATATTTCATTGGAGTGGCTCACTTACAGTTCAGAGGTTCAGTCCATCATCATCATGGCAGGGAGTATGATGGTATGCTAGAGTAGTTGCTGACAGTCCAACATCTTGCCTACCACAGGAAGTCGTCTGAGACACTGGGTGATATCCTGAGCATAGGAAATCTCTAAGCCCGCCCCCAGAGTGACACACTTCCTCCAACAAGACCTCACCCACTCCAGAATAGCCACACCTCCTAATGCTGCCACTAACTATGAGATTATGTGGGCCAATTACATTCAAATCACCACAGTGGCAGACACCTTCACCTGCTGAACCAACTTACTGGCCTACACTCTGTTTTAATGACTACTCCTAAGATCCTGGTCTCCTTATCAATATGTAAAAGCTACTCATTATTTAGCTTTAGGAAAGGTACCTCCCCTCTCTCAGCCTCCATCTCCTCTTCCTAGTGGGGAGCCATGAAAATGATGCCTTCCACAAAGACAGGCTGCTAGAGGCTAATAAGTTAATGTGTAGTGTACATAGCTTAGGGCTTAATAAATTACTTTTGCCAGGCAGTGGTGGTGCATGCTTTTAACCCCAGCTCTAGGGAGGCAGAGGCAGGTGGATCTCTGTGAGTTCAAGAGTTTCAGGCAGCTAAGGCTACACAGAAAAACTCTATCTCAAAAAAACAAAAACAAAAAAAAAAAAAAAAAAAACAACCTTATAAATAAATAGATGATAAATAGATAGATAGATAGATAGATAGATAGATAGATAGATAGATAGATAGATAGATCTTGACCCTCAGGCCATAGACAGCAGTCTGTTCCTGGGACCACCTAAGGCCCAAGCCCAGTGAACCTGTAGGTGATCCTTGGGGTTTTCTGAACAATCTTGGCCTGGGCAGCATCGGGGTGTCATGGGAAGGAAGTCTCTTCACACCTGGCCCTTTATAGAGAAGAAAGGAGACAGCCTGTGAGGTGCCTGATGGAACTAGGCTAGGAGATGCCACAAGCAGGTGAGGAAACATGTGGCTCAGTGAGATCCTCGGGAAGCAGGTGTGACCTAGGACGCAGCCCAGCCTGCCCGGGAAGGGAGCTCTGGAGGAGACCCATGGGTAGGATGTGGCAGGTGCCCGTGAAAATGGTGGAGGTTCTCATGGAATGGCTGCTGAGGGCGAGGCACTGTGCCAGGCCGGTTCATTCACCAGCAGATTCCTTACTGAGCACCTACTGCATGCCAGGCAGCATGCAGGGTGCCAGGGATTCCAGGGTGAGCAAAAACAGTATCCCTGCTCTGTTGGAGGGTGGCCAGATGGTAGAGCTGCTTCTCCCCCACCGCAGCGGCTTACTTAGTGTTTACAAGCAGTGTTTGTGCTCAGGCAGATTGGAGTTCTAATCTAAGCGCTCTCTAATGTGCTGTGGCCTCGGGGTCCCATCTACGAAAGAGAGATCCTGGCCTGTTGCTCAGGGAGGAGGTGCTGAGGATCATCCAAGGAGATGATACTTGGAAAGAATACAGAGTGGGTGGGAGCCAAGGACAGCAGTGAATTCACCAACCGTGGGGTTGCCAGGCTCCAACTGGCCCAGGTCTGTTAGGTTCCGCAGCACAGGGGTTGGGAGTCTCACCTCTGGACTTTATTATACTCATGTTAGCTGTTGGGTCCTCAGCAAGTGGTTCCCTTCTCTGAGCCCCTTTCTCTTCGTCTCCACATAGAATAAAAAAAAAATCGCAGCATCTGCCTCATAGTGTCGATGATTAAGATACTATCAGGATCTGTGCCACGCAGGACTTGGCATTCAGTGAGAACTTGGCAAATCACCTGCTGACGCCGATGGTTATGACACCTACCATGGATGGGCAAGCACCATGAGCGGGGGTGCCTAATGCAGAGTGCACACACTGAACAGCTTTGCTGAATGAGTGAGATCAACTCCCAGGCTCACTGAGTCAAAATTAGCAAACGCTTAGGGGACCTGAAGGATCAGCCACTCCAAGTCACTCATGGCACAGATGGAAACAGTGAGGCCCAGAGAGAGAGGTGCCTGGAGCTGCCCAAGGCCACACAGCCTGGGAAGCTGATAAGACAGGCTCCAAGGCCAGGTACTGGAAGGTTGGAGGAAGGCAAGGTTAAGAACAGGATGCTGTCAGCAAGGCTGAGGAGGGCAGGGATGCTGCATTTAGATTCCAAATGGATACAGAAAGCTGTGAACCGGCCAGGCGGGAGGCAAGGGAAATGTGGTTTTTGAAATGGAAGAGGATGACTTTAGCAGATGTTCCTAGCCCAGAGGGAGGGGGCGTGCGAGAAGGTGATGGGGGAGGGCTGGGGCTGTGAAAGTCAAGAGCTTATTAATGCACAGAGAACCGTTTTAATGGTGGAGAGAGGAAGGGCTGGATTTGAGAGCTGCAGTCCAGGAAGTGGCGATGGGATTTGGCTACAACTTGGGTTGGGGGAAGGGAATGGACCCCAAGGCTGAGGCTCAGAGCAGGGGCCGAGAGGAGAAGAGGCTAGAATACAAAATTGGACTGTGGTTGCTAAGTATCTGGGTTCCCTGGGGTGTCTGAACCTCTGTCATCCCTTCCAGAACCCTAAGTCTCCAAAGGGTAACCCAGCGCCACCCTCCTGTGTGCCCACATTGATCCTCTAGCCGTACATCTCCGGGTGTGTCCTGCTTCTATTGCTGACACTCTAGGAAGAGAAACCCCAAGGGAGGGGTTAAGCGGAAGGACTCAGAGTACCCGCTGGGCATGACCGGAAAGGAAGACCTAGAGGGGTGCACAGCAAGACTGAGGCTATTGTGGTGAGCGGGTCAGCTAGGGACCTGGACAGGCATTCAGGGTGGTGGCATCAGAGGGTGGAGAACGCTGTCAGAGGGAGCAAGAAGGTTGAGGAGAACTGATCTCAATGTGGCCAAGAGAAGGGCTCTTGGCAGACTCAGTTCCTGTAGCAGAGAGGGCGGAAGGCAGATGGGAGGAGGTGCGAGCGCGCGGGAACACAGGAAGGTGGGGGCTGTGGATATGGGCTGGAACTCAGCACACTCCCCCTCCTGAGACCTTCGACCAGGTGCCCAGGTCGCATGAGGAAGGAACCATCACCCCAGGCACTGGGGGAGCGGGAGAGAACCAGAGTTGGGGGACAGGCCAAGGTGAACTGGCCTGAGCAGAGAGGATGCTCGTGTCCTGTTAAACCCAGATCTCCTGGGACCTGCTGACCACGGCCACTTGGGGAGGACCTTGAGGCAGTGGGAGCGAGAGGAATGGGGTTCCGGCTCTTTCTACAGATAACCCTTCATCTGAAGCAAACCTCACTTTGGATGGGTGGTCACTTAAGTAACTAGCTCCCAAATCACACTGTGCATGGGTGGCGGAGGGTGTTAATGCAATCCAGGGCCTTCAACATGAATAAGTGAGTACTCTACACCTGAGATACAGCCCCACCCCTGCTGACCACCAAAAGTTCCCTGGTCAGCTGGTTAAGAAGCAGAGCCCCCCACTGCCCTCCTCATCATACCCCGTACCTTCTGAGCCATAATCTCAAGGTTCAGCCAGTACATGACTTCTCCACCCCAGGCCCTGTCCCCGACACTGTAAGAGGGACAGTGGTACAAGGCTTCAGAGGCCAGCCTCTTCCCTCCTTTGCTAAGTCTGGGATGTGGAGCTGACAGTGGTCCCCTGAATAACTCAGCCAGAAGCAGAACTTCCCGTCCCCAAAGAAACCCTCCGTCAGAGGGAAATGGATGAGACGGGATGGGCTGGAATTCTAAAGGAGCCCCTGCTGTCATGACAACCATGATTTATGGATGGTTGACTGTGCCTCTATCAGGTGGTACCCGCAGCAGCATCGTAGCACCTAACCTCTTCAGTCTATTGAAGAACCTTCTAAAGGAAGATATATATACTAAGGGACAGGGCTCTGTGAGGTTAAACAGCTTGTCCAGCAGCTAGGAAAAGGAAAATCTAGGCTTTGCGGCAGTGCTTCTAACTCCTGAGCCTGTGGGCTTCATCCCTGGACAAAAACTCTACATGCAAGAACTGTACCCAGCACTCCACCCCATGAACCTTATGTGAACTCTGTTCATTGGTCCTCAGAGCCAGTGAAGCTAGGGACACTCGTTTCCACTTTACGGAGGAGAAAGCATGCTTAGAAGTAACTCAGCTTGGCCAACTTCACAAGCGATCACACAATGTCTACCCATGTGAAAACCTTTTCTTCTTTTCCAAGACAGGGTTTCTCTGTGTTGCCCTGGCTGTCCTGGAACTCACTTTGTAGTCCAGGCTGGCCTCCAACTCACGGAGATCCACCTGCCTCTGCCTCTCCAGTGCTGGGATTAAAGGCGTGAGCCACCACTGCCTGGCTATCCCAAGTATCTTGATACATTCTGCTCCATTAATTGCCACGTTTTACAGAGAGAGAAACTGAGGCTCAGAAAGACAGAGTGACTTTTCCCCCAGGTATCAAAGTTCATGGCAGACCCAGGATCTAACTCTCAAGCTCCAAGCACGGTCTTCAGGCAACCTGATCACCAGCATGGGAAAGGCAGACTTGTTCTCAGTCTAGATGGCAAGCTGCTGGGAGGTACTGGAATCTGAAAGGGACTGGGATACAATCTAAATTTAAGAACCAGGCAGGTGAGATGGCATTGTCCCTGTGTGCCAGTTAGTATTGACTGCCATCTTGACAGGATCTAGACTCACCTAGAAAGGCTGGAAAGATGGCTTGTCAGAAAGGTGGTCATCACCAAGCCTGGTGTCCTGAGTTCTAGCCTGGAACTCCACATGATATAAGGAGAGGACGCACTCCCACAAGTTGTGTACATACACACACACACACACACACACACACACACACGCACACATGTGCACGCACACGCGCACACACACACACACACACACGCACGCACGCACGCACGAGGAGGGGGTGAATAAATAAGTAAATTTTAAGACCCACTGCCAAAGCCAGCTATTGTGTTACTGAGCGACAATCCAAGCCACTCAAGAGGTTGAGGCACCGGGATGGCTAGCTGAAGATCCACCTAGGCTAAACATCAAGTCCAAAGTCAATCGGGGCAAGTCGGTGAGACTCTGTCTCAAAAATAAGTGTAGAAAGGGAGCTGTGGCTATAGTTCAGCGGCAGGGTTCTTGCCTGGCATTGCTGTGCTGGGTTCAGCCCCTTGGGGCCCTGGGCAAAGGGACCCACTGACCTCAGTTGTATAGCTTTCTCCATAGGAAATAGGTTAGAAGATGCACGCTTTAAATTCAGGACTCAGTTGATAAGGCGCTGCCTAGCATGTTTGAAACCCTGAGTGTGATCTCCAGCACCACATAAAACTGCCAGGGAGCACAAACCTGAAATCTCAGAAACCAAGAGGTAGAGGCAGGAGATGAGAGGATCCTCTTGGATACATAGCAGGGATACATGGTATCTCAAAAAAGAGAAAAGGCAAGCCCTTTCGCACTGTTCCACCCTGCCATTATGCCTTCCTTACCCTCCCCAGGTCCTGGAGTGGAGTCCCCGACCCCGTCTCAGGCCACTCTCTTCTGTTTCCATCCCCCCACTCAGGATGACTTGTTCGCGGACCTGGCCAACCTGAGCCACCTCTTCCTCCACGGGAACCGCCTGCGGCTGCTCACGGAGCACGTGTTCCGCGGCCTGGGCAGCCTGGACCGGCTGCTGCTGCACGGGAACCGGCTGCAGGGCGTGCACCGCGCGGCCTTCCGCGGCCTCAGCCGCCTCACCATCCTCTACTTGTTCAACAACAGCCTGGCCTCGCTGCCGGGCGAGGCGCTGGCCGATCTGCCGGCTCTCGAGTTCCTGCGGCTCAACGCCAACCCCTGGGCGTGCGACTGCCGCGCTCGGCCGCTCTGGGCCTGGTTCCAGCACGCGCGGGTGTCCAGCTCCGACGTGACCTGCGCCACCCCGCCCGAGCGCCAGGGCCGGGACCTGCGCGCGCTGCGCGAGGCCGATTTCCAATCGTGCCCGCCGCCCACGCCCACGCGGCCGGGCAGCCGCGCGCGTGGCAACAGCTCCTCCAACCACCTGTACGGCGTGGCCGAGGCGGGCGCGCCCCCCGCGGACCCGTCCACGCTCTACCGAGACCTGCCCGCCGAGGACTCGAGGGGGCGTCAGGGCGGGGACGCGCCCACCGAGGACGACTACTGGGGTGGCTACGGCGGCGAGGACCAGCGGGGCGAGCAGACGTGCCCCGGGGCCGCGTGCCAGGCGCCCGCAGACTCGCGTGGCCCCGCGCTCTCGGCCGGGCTGTGCACCCCTCTGCTCTGCCTCTTGCTCCTGGCGCCCCATCACCTCTGACTGCGGTGCTCAGACGGAAGAGGCCACGGCCTTCGCCCCGCTCCCCTTCTCCGCCCCTCACCGAGCTGCGGCTCCATCCTCGCCCCTTGTTTGCGGCCCGGCCTGGCGCCTTCCCTAGGCCCCCCTCGCTCCTTTTCTTCCCCGGGACCACGCTGCCTCATTTGCCTTCTGGGCTGTTCTGACTTACGTATGGCAGCCCCTCAGGCGGTGTCTAAGGTGGCTCGGCCCCATTCGCCCTGATTCTAGCCACTAACTCTTGTTCCCCAATCCCAAGGCTGGGGCGGGGCACCCCAGGCAGCCGATGCTCCTCTCTCCAGGGCCCCACAGTGGACTGGAGGGGCTTTTGTCTGTAGAGCACCTTCCACCAGCAGAGCCTTTGAAAGCTCCCCCGGGAGCCTCCCTTCCTCCCCGGAACCTTGGGAGGGATGCCTCAGCAAGGCCCAGGCTGCCCCTGGACCCTGCTTGTCCTCATCCCTTTAGCCTCCTGACACCTGGAGGAATACTTTTCTCCTAAGTCTACCCAGAACACTTTTTAGGGTGCCTGGAGAGTAGTTTCCTCTCCACCATGGCCCCTGTGTGGTGAAGATCAAAAGAAGTTGTTTGGGGGAAAGTTTATTAAAAAATTCTATTATTTTATCTCCTGTAAGGTTTTTTTTTTCCCCCATCAAAACCTCAAAAGCAGAAGTAGGACTTAGAACCGTTAAGTGTTTAAGGTTTGGAGGGCTAGATAAGGAAGAGCCATCTCAGGCCCCCCGGGATTTCCTGCTGCGTGGACTTGATGAGTGATTTCACCTCCCTTGGGCCTCAAGGTCATTCTGATCCTCCCGAGGCTTCAATTTCTTGAGCTACCCCGGCTGTTAAGGGTGTGTGCTGATGGCACCAATTTGCCCAAGAGAAGCAGCTGCCACCAGCCCTGAAGTGTTTGATGGTTGAAGGACTGAATCTGGAGGTGGCCACCAGCTGGGCTGAGTGGCCTCCAGGAAAGACATGTAGGCCTCCACCTTCCCCTGCAAGGAGGTGTAACTTAGATATTCGTGGGCACCACCAGTGAAACATTGCTTTGGGCCTATCTGGGAAAGGCACGGCTTCTTGGGGGAACACATAAGCCTTAAAGAGCAGAACCTAAGACTAGACCCCAGCTTGTGTTTGCCCTGTTTGCTGAGTGCCCCTGTGAAGTATTCAGCACACACGGCTGTCCTGGATACCCCTACAGCCATCCGGTCTTTCTCCCTTGGCACCGGTGAGATAGAAGCCTCCTTGGGTGCGTCAGGTCCAGCAGTTTCCTGAGCAGATTAGGAGAGACAAGGAGGTTAAGGTGATCAAGGGACAAAGAATTCAAGTTGGGGTGCCTTATATTGAAGCTAGAGGCTCCCTCTCTAGAGTGGGTAAAGAGAGGCCAGGGGCAGGGCTAGCATTGAACCTTAGCCTTGGGGCTCATCAGACGGAACTGATCAAGGATCCAGAGCTGGGTTGTAGCCTGGGAGGAGGGAATGGCAGGATGGGAGGGACCTGGGTGCCGGGGTTCAGGACTGAGCTGCTCCTGGGATCCAATAACCCTGACCAGTGATGTCTCAGGATGCTGAGAAGAGGAGGCAGAAACAGGCAGGAATCGGCACCCGTGGACTGTAGCAGATGAACGTTGGCTATGGATGTGAAATGGGTGAGGGGCTAGTGAAAGCAGAGGTCAGACCTGGAGAGCTCCGAGCTGGAGTCTTCCAGGGCCTGTGTCAGGCCGGCTTGGAGGAAAGTCATGAGTAGGATTGGGAGGGGGTCTAGAGGTAAGGTTGAGGGGGGAGGGGAGAAGGGAGCTAGGGAAGTGCTGTGTTGGAGGAGGGGCTTCTGGGCCAGGGCAGGGGGGCGGGGAGGAGTGTGCTGGTAAATCAGAGGCAGGCTGTCCAGGTCACAGAATTATCGTTGTGAAATATTCATGGGCCTTCGGTCCAGATGCTATTTCAGAACAAGGAGCGCAGGAGACGTGTGTGTGTGAGCCTCAGGAAGAAGCCTAGAGCAATACTGCTCCCCACTGGCCCCCGCCGCAGCCACTGACAGCCCAGACAGACCAAGGGACGCCCATCACGTGCACACCCACACTCTCCAGCTCTCTCTCTCTCTCACACGAACACACACAAAATGGAGCTTTGTGGCACGTTGCAAGCACACCAGCCACCCACGGGTCCCACAAACAGGCAGATGCACCTCAGATACGGACGTGGACCCACGCCCTCTCACCCAGGACCCCACACCCAGCAATCTCACAAGCTCAGCGCCCCAGCCTCTCCAAACAATCCAGATTGACAGCTTTGAGCGTGACACTCCAAAATAGAAGAGATGGGCAAAGCCATGTTTTCCAACCCCCACCCATGTCCGGATAAGGAAACTGAGGCCAGAGTGTTCAGGAATGGACTTATCCATGACTCCCCTAACTCAAGAAGCAAAAATCCATTCACCTCCCGCATTCCATGAGTGTGTGTCCCCATTCTGCATGCTTCATCTTTCAGACACCCAGTGTCGACGCTAGCTCCGCTTTTCTCTAATCTCCTACATCTACTCGGTTCCCAAGTCCCCCTCCTGGCCCCTGTCCATGCTCTGCTTCCTAGGCCCGCCACCTCCCTGCTGAAGCTCCTCATTACCTCGTGCCTGGAACAGGGAAGAAAATGGAAGTAATCTCTACTCTGCTTTTTCTGCTCTCGGTCTCCCCGCCTCCCGCTCAGCCTGCCCACAGTGACTAGACTCATCTGGCCGAACGGTGCATCGTGTCACTACGTCACTCTGGAACCTGCCGTGGCTCCCCCACTGCCTTCAGAGTCAAGGTAAAACACCTTATCCAGGCGCCAGAGGGGTTTGCACTGTCGAGAAGCAGCTGCCAGTCAAGCCTCCTCCACCCTCGGTGGCCACCGGCCAACCTTCTCTCTAACGCTTGAACGTTTGTGTCCACCTGGCCACCTGGTTCGGTACACTAGAAACCCAGAAATCTATTTTGAATGCTACCTCAAGTCCCTTCGTCTCCCCCAAGCTAGGAAACTCCTCCCTGCTCTTCTCAGATCACAGACTCCAGAGGCCTTTCCTCAAGGCCAAGACTGCACCTCCCTACCTGCCGGCAGGGCTCTTTACTGCCCTTCAAAGTACAGAGAAGATGAAGTGGCCCAGAGGGCGGCTGCCCCCTACTGACCGCCGTGGGAAGCACAGACAGGCTTTGTCATCTCAAACTGCAGCGTGAGCATGCAGGCGCCTGGGGAGAGGAATAGAAGGACGCCAGATGACAAGCTTCATAAGCCCTTAAGCCTCTCAGGTTCTTACACCCAGAGTGGGGGGTGATGGTGTTTTCAGCCCAGTTTTCCGAGCAGCTGGCTACCCACTTTAGATCTCTAATCTGTGAGAGAGCTCTTCTATAAAAACACGAAGACCGGGCTTCCAGGACCCTTCAGAAGGGAAAGTTGGCCAACAAACTCCAAGAGGACACAAAACCAGGAACCATCCAGGTGGCAGGCCCAAGGTCCAGCCGGGGTCAGGTTTCTCTATGAATTTTTAATGCTTCCAGCCAAACCTGTCAGATGTCCTGAAACCTGAGAATCCATCTCCGTTCATCTAGACAAGATGCCCTTCTCTATCCCACTGCTCTGGGGCCGGGCCACAGAGGGGGCTCCGGGGCAACTCTGCTCAGGGCACGCGGTTTGGAGGAGGAGAAGGATGGAGATCTGCTTGCTCTCCCCTTCCTACCTCGGCGAATTCTCCCGATGTCCCTTTTTGTTGGTACTCCTGGTTTGGACATCTGGGGGTGGGGTGGGGGAGGGGCGGCGACACAGAGTCCCCGAGGTAACTGAGCTGTAGTGGGGAGCAAGTGCCTAGCAGGCCGGTGTCTTTGTCAGGGCTGTCCTTCCCACAAGCCCTGTCTCTTCTCCTGTCTCCTGTCGTTTTTTTCTTCCACCACCAGAAGTGTCTGTCTGTCTGTCTGTCTGTCTGTCTGTCTGTCTGTCTCTCTCTCTCTCTCTCTCTCTCTCTGAAGGTGGGACTCTAATTGATTTTGGTCTCCCCAGTCACCTCCTAATAGCCTGAGCCTCAAAAACCTCCCCAGGACTACAGATGAAAAGGGAGAGGGAGGTTAGAAAGTGGGCAAGGCCGGCTGAAGAGTGGGGAGAAAGGAGGGGCCGGAGATGGAAACCCCTGAGGGAGGGGATGGGAAGAAGGGGCCAGCTCAGAGAAGAGCCAGGTGCAGATCACCCCTTTATCTCACTCCATTATCATCTTTCCTTACCCATGGCCTCCACCCTCTCTTTTTCCTTCCTGGCACCTTCTCCGAGCCAGATCCCATCACACCAGAGA